AACAAAAGAGTCTGATTAGACTGTAACACTATGAGTATTATTTTAATAATTTTATAAAAAAAAGATTGATGGTTTGTTCTAGACCTTGGAAAAGGGAGTTGATAAAACAATCTCACAAGGTCCATAGTTGCTGTTATGACCTTTTGATCATATCAAACAATCTTACTGATGACTGATGGAAAAAAACTCAATCTGCTGCAAAAGATTGTGTGAGAAGTTCCTGAGCAGCACCTAAACGGACCTTGTGGTGAGACAGTAGTCAAGTAGTATTAATTCTGTTATGATGATCATCACATATACTTATATTAGAAAAATATTTGTGTTGGGATCTTGCTCTGTAGGCTGGTTCTGCAGTCTTATGACAACATTGTAATATAGGACTAGTAATGGAGTGATTTGTTGATAATTTGTTGATGCCTTCCATGTATCTTTCTAATTTGTGCAGCAATAATTAAGTATGCAGGTGGCACCAGGGGTGGAGCCAGATGTTGTAAACATCCGGGGCTTAGCATGCTGCCCCTGGGAGACTTTGTCCCATTTACAGCAGCTATACAGAGTGCTTAGAAATCTGTACATCATTTGGGAAAAACATGACAGTTGCTCAGTGGAGCCTACATCCTATTTTGAATCTAATTGTTCTCCAGCTGTCTTCATCATTCTGAAACCCTAACATCCTACCACATGAACAGAGGCAGAAATTGTTTGATGTTATTATTTTTAAGTTAGATAACATAGTTAGGGTAGGAATCCGCATCCTGAAACCCATTTTTGTTAAACTCTCCTGTCACAGAATGAGTGTTGCATGTGAATCTATTGTGCCATAATGCTGTAATAGAAGGTGATATTTCACCCAGTAATGGAAGTTTTACTCCATTGATTTTCCGATACAGTCAGAGAGAACGGGGGAAATGACACAAAATTTAATTTAAGCCTAAAAGATTCAGGGCTTTTGAGATAACATTTGGGGCTGGAGCCCCAGCAGCCACCCAAATCCGCCCCTGTCTGGCACTGGTCTTGTTTAATTAGTAACACATGAAAGTTAGATTCTGCTGATTCACCAGAAAATAAGGTTGTCTTGCAGCGTAAAGCCAGCAGTCCAACAGGAGTTAACCAGCCCACATCAGAATCTTATAGGACTTGTAAAGTCCTGCAGTCCAGACAGTGAATGCCTTTTTAGGACATGTTGTAATATAGCTTTACAATCCCTGCATCACTCCTACTGGGACTCCTTCACAAGTGGAACACAGGCATGTTCTTGTGGGGCTTTTTTTTAAGGTTTGAAGAGCAAATTAATTAACTGCAAAAAAAGTGAGAGTGACTGTAGTTTAATAGTGGCAGGTCAATTTGATTAAACACAGTAAATCACAGACTTTTCATGATTCATTGCAGGATTACGAGATAATTGCATTAAATTAATTCAATTTCCCTGCTGTCACTAGATGGTACAACACTCCAATTTTAAAAATGTTCTGCAGATTGCAAAAACATTGAGCCGCTCTGCTCACTTGGGGTTTGTTGTCTCACTGGCACAAAAACATTTCACAACATTCATTTTTCATCCGTTTTTTTTTTTTTCATCTCTCTGCTCTAATTTTACCATTTTGCTTGGAAATCATGCAGCTGCTCCCTTCAGTGCATCTTAATGAGATCTGAGTCAGCAGGGTGTACTCAGCTTCAGCATCCCGGAGCACAGGGAAGAATATTTGTGTCACACAGCTGGCGTTTCATTCCACCTCTCAGGTTTGTACAGCAAAAATGAGCTGTCATCCTTCCATCAGTATGGTATTAAGGTGCTGTGTCACCAGAGTGTTTTCCTCTGCCTTTCAGTAATAAAATGGCACAAGGAAGGGAGTGAGTGACCTTGATTTATTTCAGATGATCAGAGGTGCAATGACAGTGAGCCTGTTCAGTATTGAGTTGGAGAAGCTGAAGATGGTGTTTTCTGTCTTTCTAAGAGCATTGTTGATCGCTTACAGGACAACAAAAATAATTGGACGGGACAGAGCAGAGCTTAGCAACACTGTGACAGTGGAGGGATTAGGTCCTAAAAATTGTACAAGGTTGCCGTCTACTGGATCTGTGGAGGAAGCACAATGTATAAGTGTCATGTTTTCATTTGTACCGTGTATGTTCAGTGTACTGGCTCTCACGGAAACCTGATATCACACAATTAGTAATGCTGTGCTAACAAAGAGGTGGCTAAAGTATGAATTCCAGTAAGTAATTAGATTATTAAACAAATGTAACATATATTTAAAGGACAGCATCTGATTCCCTTATCTTCAGTTTATTGTCAGTGCAGTTTATTCAATTAATGTCTATGTAAACTGTAGGAAATGAAAGCGTTAGAAATGATTGGTTTCTCACAAGAGCAAACTTAAAGGAACATCAGTAATATAAAATAAAAAATGAATTATGATATTAATTATAATCCTGTTGCCAGTACAATGTGAGAAATGTCAAATTCTACTTTTATCTTTTATCAGCACACAGCAAAGTTTCGTGGCCACCTTAGTTTCTCCTACATACTTCACAGCCAGTTCTCATTCCCTTATTCACAGACGCGAGCAGTGTTCAGTTAGTTGCTTACCGCAACTTCACCTCTAGATGCCACTAAATCCCACACATTGGTGTTTAACTTACAACTGAGACGAAGGAAACACCAGACAGATTCTGCTGACGTGACAGACGTGTTATTCTTGGATGCATGAAATGAAGGTACAGAGTATTTTTATATCTGAATACTGAGAGACACTGACAGGTGTAGAAGAGGAAGAGTTTAAGATAGACGTTTTCATTCAAGTATAAATTGTGTTGTAAACATTAAGAAAAAGTAGCTGTGTCTGGAGCCAGTGTTGCTTCCAAAGCTGGGCTCATGGACCTAGAGTGAAAGATGAATAGAGATGGAGATAATTATTTCATATAAAGCAGGATTTTATTCTGGACTTGGAAGCAGAGTGGTTACGATTGGTGCAGCAAGAGAAGACCAGCAGACATGATTTATTATACATTGCACAAACAATGTGCAAACTGTTAAGCAAGTGTGAAGATTTTAGAGTTTGTACTGTACACAGCCCAATGTGTTTTGTATATGCTGTCCCTTGCAGTCTTGTGGAAGACAACAATGTAGCTTCTATAAGTAAATAAGGTTCAGTAAACAGCTCCGGTCTCCCAAAGCCGGCAAACAAAACTTCAAACAGGTGACATCTGGTTACTGTACTGCTACTGCTCATCCAGTAATTGTCTTTATTTACACATACACCAAGAAACCCTATAATAAGTAATGGAACGAATATACTAGAAGACCATGAGAAACAGCCATTGGGAGATTTATCTATTCTCAGTATTGCAGCCTGCAGGATGTTAACAAGCTACAATTGGACCACTGCACCAGATGGGATCATATATTCAATCTGCTGACTAACACTGCACGTGAAGTTGCTTTGACACAGGAAAATATCAGCCCCATTATTTGCTGAGTTGGACTCCATAAAACATCTAATAAATGTCGGTACTATTATTAACAATCTCTTGGTTTATTGCAGTTGTTTACTGTATAGTCTCGTCAGCAGCTCTGAGACAGATGTAGAGCTCAAATCAGTGCTTCCACTGTTAGAGTGTGTGCATAATTCATCTCCTCTGCAAACACAGCTGGTTGCACACTCAGAGATTATGTACACAGTATAATACCTTAAGGCTGACTTTATATGAGCTTCTGGAATAGTTCTTTCTAAAGAGGGAATGAAACACATGGGAGACTTTCAAACATCTTCTGTTGTTTTCAGCTTTGCAATCTGTTTAGTTTAACCATTCTGTTGAAAGATTTAGTCCTTGTAGGTCTGGTAAATCTACTTGATTTTCTGTTTACTGTTTTACTTTGTTCAAGATCCTCTCATCTGAACTGTTTTCAGTCAGTTGAGTAGAGGTATGCTGGGATTTTCTCCCATACCAGATGAAATAGATGTCAGTCAATTTGGTGTGTGTACTAAATGCAGTCCTGAGGAGAAGTCTAAAAGTTTTAAATAATAATTTTTTTTTATTTTTAACATTATATGCTGCTGTTTCGTCTATCATAATTAGTTTGATATTGCAACAACACAGTATCCAGATATTAAATGTTAGAAAGTTAGAAAAAGTTAGAAAGCGCTGCAATCCTTTATAGTCTGTAGTTCATACAATAGAGCAAAAAACACACTGAATATGATGTAATTTTCTGAACAGGCTCTTGTTTTATAAAAAAACAAGAAACATTTATGCTCTACAGGTAGAGTGTATGTTATTGCATGTACAAAAATAGCAACTTTGGTCTTCAAAGTGCATCTCCCTCATCTCCTCCTTTTTTCTTCTCTTCAGCCAGCCAACTCCTGTCCAGATTCAGGTTGCACTTGAGGACAGAAAAGGGTTTCTCCAGCTTTCTCAGCTCCTTCATCTCCCTTTCATAACCCATTTCATTCACCTCCAGGTCAGTCTGAGACAGGCGATGGCAGTCCTGGTGCTGAGAGGTGAAAGAATGGAGAAGAGAGTGATGGCAGTGGATAGTGAGGGGTTGTGAAGAAAAAAAAGATAAAAGAGAAGAAGATAGAAGCTGTTGTGACTAAACATAGATCGGACTTATACTTGGACTTATACTTGATCATTCAGTATCCATACAGGAATATTTTACAATATCCTGAATAGACCTAACCTGAACGTAGTTATCTCAACAGATGTTTTTTTCATTAGTGGATAGATTGAACAAACTCCATCAGCTAATGATAGTCTTTTTTTTTTTGTCTTAAAATTCAAAATCAATATTTATTTTATATACAGTTGATGTTCTTTATTATGGTATGATATTACATATTATATATTATATTATATATTACATATTATTTATTATATATTATATTAATATATATATAAAAAAATTATTTATATTATAATAATTATATTATAAAAATTATAAAAAATAATAAATAATATATATATAAAAAAAAAAAAAAAAAAAAAAAAAATATATATAATATATATATTATAAAATAATATTATATATTATATATTGTATATTATATATTATATATTGTATATTATATTATATATTATATATTATATATTACATATTATATATTATATATTATATATTATATATTATATTGTATATTATATATTATATATTGTATATTATATATTATATATTGTATATTATATATTATATATTATATATTATATATTATATTGTATATTATATATTATATATTGTATATTATATATTATATATTATGTATTATATATTATATATTATATATTATATTGTATATTATATAAATAAGACCCTATTCCATCACAGTATCTTTAAAACGTCCGCCGTGCTTTGGAGCCTCCTCATTGGCTGATGGCTGTTGCTATGACATCGCCGTAGCTTCTGCAGACGCTTCAGAGTGAAGCATTGTGGGATAAACACAACAGTTATGTCGTGAGATTATTTGAACAGAAAATGTCGATTTAAAGTTTATTTGATTAAACGCCAGCAAGATGAAGGTTAGTATCAGCGAATCCATATAAAACACCGGCGTTACTTCTGGTTTTATGACTCCGTTTTATCACATTAAAGCCCTTCAGACAGATAGCTAACCTAGCTATACTTGCTAACGGTAACGTTCATTTGGTAACTTGTGGAAACAAAGTTAGTTTAATGTTAATAATGTTAATAATGTTAATAATGTTAATAGTTTACACTCGTTAAACCAGCTTTCTTGTTCGCTATAGTGCGGGGGAGATGTCATCCAAAGCTACCGATAAGACCGGGCATTTTATTAAGACAACAGGAAAATATTTGGCAAGCTAATGCTAACTTATCTTAGCTTATCTTGTTATTAACTCAATATTTGTTATATAACTCTATAAGTTACAATACTGTTTTCTGTGGTTATGCCTTTAACTAAATACATTTCTGTCATGTTATCTGATGAAAGAGCTCGCCAGGTTGTCTTAAAGAAGGTCTGGGATCTGTAAGCTTTTAAATGGGAATAAATAATAAAGAAAGTGGGTAAAAACAAACAAACAAATGGATGCAGAGAAGCTGCAATATCCTGGCTTTGAGTTCCTAGTGTGTCCAAAAACACTTGATCTAAACTTCCCATAATGTAACTTGAACACTGTCTTTCATTAGATCTTCCCTGTCTGTTAATGCCCTCATATTACAAACTAAGTGAAGTCTCTCTCTAATTTCCTCAGACTTGTAAAAGATCCTCCAGATAATGAACAACCGCTGTCACCTCCTGAGCCGTTCTCCTCATAACTAACGTTACTACATTCAGTTTGACATGTAGATTTGGTTGAGGAACAGGAAGTAAATCAGAGTAACCAAGAATTTAATAAAAAGAACCGATTCATTAAAGACTATTTCCAGCAATACAATTTATGCTTTCACTTTTTTCTATACTTTACTACTTTTGTTTCTTATATTTTTTTGAACAGCAGATATACAATTGCATCCAGTTCATTAAAAATGTTGAAGTAAAGAGTGTTCAAAACATTTTAATGGCATGATTAAGAGCAGCTATTCCCAGTGTCCAGTCACTGCTAACATTAGGTAATCTTTTTAGTTTAAATGAGTGGAAGCTCTTATTGAGTTTAAAACTTATATTATAGGTTTACCTCTGTAGAAAACTATGGATGCCATTTAAATTTCATGTATTTGTCTTTTTCCTAATAAATTGTACTTAAAAAGCAATCTTTGTGTCCACAGAGCGTTTTTATCCTCGATGACCAAGCCTGGGCGGGTTCTAGCCTCCTGTATAAGTGGCAGAGAGCCCTTGGTAATTATATCGCTGTTGCAGGGTGAGTGAACTGTTATTGTTGGAAATGTAGTCCAGAGAAAACTGTAATATTCTGCTTCCCTTTTATACAAGATTTACGTGTTAAGTGTGCACGATATTTTTTATCATACAGACAGGACAGCTCAGTGAAAATATTTGATCGACATGGACACAAGTGGACTGAACTCAACCTTCCGGGGCAAGTTTAAGAAGATCCATTTTGGCTCCAATTTTGTCTAATCAAAAAGGTTTATGTGGTTACTGTTCACCGTTAAAAAGTATTTTTAGTTACACTGTCTCTTCTTTCTCCTGCTCCCCTCAGACGCTGTGTGGGAATGGACTGGGATAAAGATGGGGACATTTTGGCGGTGATAGCTGCAAAATCCAGTTCTGTCTATCTCTGGGATGCCAGTGTCAATAAAACATCCCAGATAGACAGCGGCATGAGGTATAACAAGCCTGTAATACATTTCTAAAGAGCTCAAACAGAAACATGGGCTCAGTTGCTGTGAAATGATTGTAAATCACTTCTGATACTCTGGATTTGTTTCTCATTGTTGTTGGTTTCAACAGAGACCAGATGTCTTTCATCCTGTGGTCAAAAACGGGCCCACTGTTGGCTGTTGGGACAGTCAAAGGAAACCTTTTGATTTACAATCAGCAGACCTCACGCAAGATCCCTGTACTGGGTAATACACATACAACACAACTCTACAGATACCTGTTCATGCGTTTGTTTGTCTTTAGTCACTTCAGTTATATTGACTGTCCTCTCTATCTCCACAAATGCTAGGTAAACATACCAAGAAGATCACCTGTGGGTGCTGGAGTACTCAGAATCTATTGGCTCTGGGAAGTGATGACAGCACGCTGAGCATCAGCAATCATGAGGGGGACACCATCAGACAGGTAGACCCACATATGCATGAGTGCTTAAACACCCAAGCAGCACAAACAAACAAACAAACAAAGTTATCTCACCTCTATACAGTTTGAACATCAGATTATTTTATATGCTTAGCCACTTATGCTTAATTAGGTCACTCAAATTATAAGCAAACAAAATTACTACAGTGTGTGATAAAGAAGTGCAAAGTATACAAATACAAGCTTAGATGCTTTGAAAAATGACAGCCAGTAACAGCACAGTATCATGGGGAAAAACAAATTCCACTTTACCTTTGTCTCCTTTTATCAGACAACGCTCCGCGGTGAACCTGCTGAGATTTCCTTTTCTGTGATGAAGACGGATGAAAGGTCCGGTCTAGGAGAGAACACTGTAAGTTTGTGTGTTTTCTGCAATTTTTCACTAACTTGAATTTATCCACAATCTTCTTATGCGCACTATATCATTTTTATATCACCCATTTATCATGTGTGTATTTATTTATTATTTATTATGTTCACGTTTTAGTGTCTTGAGTTGAAGTGTCACCTGTTTACTTTTTGTGCGGACTTGTTGAATCTGTTAAGTCAAGTAATTGAACTTGACCTCATGTTTGCAAATATTGACCCTTTAGGTGAGCCTGTCTGTGGACAAGAAGATACTGATGCTTTTCAATGTCAACGACCCTGAAAACCGGATAGAATTGACCTTCCAGCGCCACTATGGAAACATTGTGTCCTACCGCTGGTACTGCACACAATCACACAATCCTGCACACTACGAAACACTGGTACTGACTTGTGGCAGTGAGATGTTTGTACTAAAGTTAGTTCTCTCCCTTTGCATGTCTCTTCAAGGTATGGTGATGGGTATATACTGATAGGCTTCTCCCATGGGTACTTTGTGGTTATTTCCACCCACATCAGGGAGATTGGGCAGGAGCTCTATCAGGCTCACAACCACAAAGATAGTCTCAACAGTGTGGCCATCTCGCCAGCACTGAACAAGGCTGCCTCCTGTGGTGACAACAGGTACACACAGTTTTTCAAAAAGACAGCACAGCTATATTGTTCTGTTTATTTGGTGAAGGTGATAAAACTAAAGCCCTGTGTTTCTTGTTGCAGCATAAAGATCCACGAACTGTCTGACCTCAAATATATTAGCAACGTCGTTCGGTTGGATGATGAGACCAAAGGTGAGATACTTCTCTTGTCTAACTATACTGTCAGAAGGCCATGTTGAACACACCACACACTTCTCTTTCATCTGCCTCTCACTCACTCTCACTGTCAGGTCTGGACCAGCTGAACTGGACAGATGACGGCCAGCTGTTGGCAATTTCCACACTGAAAGGGACGCTCCATGTCTTCCTGACCAAGCTGCCCATCCTGGGTGACAGCTTTGGTACCCGGCTTGCCTTCCTCACCTCCCTGCTGGAGGTCACTGTGTCCAACCAGGTTGAGGGGGTGAGGACACACACACACACACACACACACACACACACACACACACACACACACACACACACAAAGTATTAGATTATACATTTATAGTCATACTGGAGGATTTTCTTAGAGATGGAATTAATGAACACAGCAATGCAACTGGAAATAATTCATAAAACCTCCAACAAGGCTGTTCACTGTATTTACTGTTCAAATGTATTTAACAAAAGGAAATGCATTAGTGAGACACCGTAAGGATTTTTGGTTGATAGCAGCCATAATATGGAGAATATCTGAATCCTTTGGGAGGTCAACCAAATATGTTATGTACCAATTTTGGAAAATTCAAGTACATGGAATGGCAGAATATGTAAGTGCTATATATATATATATACACATGTATCTTGGAATCTGTGTGTGAGTGCTAAATCACAGTGAGTTCATTGATCCAAGGCTTAACTCTTTTAATTTAATTTCAAAGAGACAGACAAACAGAACAAAAAACATAATCTCCCTGCCAAATTAATAAACATAAAATCATTACCAAAATTACAGGAGTCAAACGCAGGTGTCGTCACACACCAATTTTCATATCACCCAAAAATAATCGTTGAAGACAATTGTATTCGGACAAATAAAAAGATAAATGAGTGAGCTCAGGTTTGACCTGATGAGATGAAAGATTGATGAAAAAAGTAATTAAAATCGGGGATGTTACAGCTGAGTGTAAACACTGCTGACTTGATTCAATCTCTCTTTGATGTGTTTTTCAGGAGAGTCCTGTGGCCATACAAGTGGAAGTAGAGCCTACTTTCATTGCGATGGGACCTTACCATGTGGCTGTGGGAATGAACAACAGAGCCTGGTTCTACGCCTTGGTAGACCAAGAACCTGGTGTGTGCATGTGATGTGTTAACCATTACACAACCATGTTGTGGTGTGTTTCACCAGGTATGAGTGGATGAATACGTATCACTAAACTGCTTTGTTTGGCACTCAGGTTATAACAAGCTAAAGGACATTGAGTACTTGGGGACCATAGCCAGCATGTGTCTTAACTCAGACTATGCAGCAGCGCTGTTTGAGGGAAAAGTGCAGCTGCACATGGTGAGTCATCTGTGTGTCTTTGTTTCTCTTTTTATTGACCCCATGAATGATTATTGAGTGGGCTTCACCATTTCCTGTTTGTGTGTATATGTTTAGATTGAAGGGAAAGACCAGGAGGAGAAGAAGCAGATGAAGTTGTTTCCAGACGATGACAGGAAAGGTCGGATCATTTGCCACGCCCTCACCGCTGACTTCCTCTACTACGGCACTGATGTAAGGTTCAGCACACACACACATTCATACACTGATGGCATGGTGTCAACTGCTCATCAGGAACGATACAGTGTTTTTAATCCAATGCGCTCACTATAAAGCTATAAAGCTAACCCGTACACACACACGGTGACAGCCATCGGGAGCAATTTGGGGTTCTGTATCTTGTCCAGGGACACTTTGACTGCACTGAGAGAGCTTAGGAATCGAACCAGTAATCCTTCAATTAATAGACTCACTCTACCACCTGAGCCATAAATCCCCACCTGAGCCAAGATCATTTACCAACGTGTCCCTGTACTGCTGGCCTATTCCCTCTAACTCTTCCTTCATTCACTCTTTCCTGCTTTGCCACACTCAGTTGTGTTCTTCCACGTGTTCTCTGTTCATAAACCTTTCCCTCCGATTCCCCTTTATTCCTTCTTCTCTTCTTCTAATGGATGTTATAATCTGTTTCTCAGTCAGGTAATGTGGTGTGTGTGTTGGTGGAGGACTGGGAGACCGTGAGCAGCTACAGCCACTCGGTTGGCGTGAGGAAAGTGTTCCCCGACCTAAACGGCACACGGCTGGTTTTCATTGACGACAAGAACTGCGGCTTCCTTCTCTCCCCTGCAAATGTCAGTACACACAGTAACTTACCACATATCAAAACCAGAAATGACAAAGTGCTTTACAAGTGTCTAACTATGTGTATATCTGTGTTTGTAATTCAGGCAACAGACTCCTGCTTTGAGCTGCCCAACTTCTCTCCCACCATCACAGGAGTGATGTGGGACAACTGGCATGCTGACAGAGGAGTGTTTGTAGCTTATGATGATGACAAGGTCTATACCTACGCCCTGCATAAAACCACCATATATGGTAGGGTGACACACGCACACACTTTTACCTGTCTGACATATTAAACAGAGAATAGTGGTCTTTGGTTTCTCTTTCTCTTACTGTCCTGTTCAGAGGGATTTGCAATGTAGGATGTAAATCAACAAAAAATTGGGGTTCTAGTACCTTAAAATACCCCTGCTGCCATAATCCTGTGATATAAATGTAGGCGAGAGGAACGTTATTTTAAACTTTATTTCTGCCTCTCTCAATCTGTCTGCCCAGGCCCCCGGGTGGTGTTGGTGGGGAGTACTGCGCTTCTGTTTTCCCAGAAGCCTTTGCTCTTGTACAATGGGGAGCTGACGTGTCAGACGGCGAGCGGCAAAACAAGTGAAGTGGCTCTGAGCACACACGCCTTCCTCAAGCTCTCCACAAGCTCATCAATAGACTCACCGCAGGAGCTCAGCAAGCAGCTCACCCATGCCCTAATGCTCAAGAGGTCAGACAGGCTGATATATGTGTGTGTTTTATATATTATGTTGTGGGTACGCTGTGGTTAGTTTTATTAGATGTTCAGAGTACATATGGGTACGTACACTGACATTATATATGGACAGTTGTACTGTAATATCTTTTTTAATATTAATATATTAATATAATAATTTATATTATGGTAGATATGGAACAGCAAGGTTAAAGAACTGCATGTATGTGTGTTTTCCTGTCCAGGTTCCATGAAGCCTGGGATCTGTGTAAGTCTGCAGGTAGTAACACAGACTGGGCGGAGTTAGGCAACGCCTGTTTGGTCCACATGGACGTCGAGCTGGCCATCCAGGTCTACCGTACGAGTGGCAATGTCGGTATGGTCCTGTCACTGCAGGGCATCCAGGTACAGCTCGCACACATAGCACAGTTCCTATGTCACTACCTCTTGATAACAGACACTGTTTCAGTCTATTCTGATACCGGCCCCCTCTCTCTCTCACTCTCTGTCTCTCTCGCTCTCTGTCCAGGGTATAGAGGACATGAATTTACGGGCAGGACATTTGGCCATGTTCCTAGGCGACTATAACCTGGCACAGGACCTCTATCTGTCCTCAAGCTGCCCAATTGCTGCCCTGGAGGTAAAAACACACTCAATTTAAGAGTAAACGTGTGTAAGTGAATGTGTGTAGACATTGTGGCTGATCACTTGTGTCTTTAATCACCCAGTAGGTAAATTGTATTAACTCCTTAGCATTCTGCATTATATGTTGTCATATGTTGTTAATGTAGGCTTAAATTCAGTTCTCACTGCGAATGTGTGTGTGTGTGTGTGTGTGTGTGTGTGTGTGTGTGTGTGTGTGTGTGTGTGTGTGTGTGTGTGTGTGTGTGTGTGTGTGTGTTAGATGAGGAGAGACCTGTTGCATTGGGACAGTGCCCTTATGTTAGCCAAGAGGTTAGCAGAAGACCAAATTCCCTTTATATCCAAAGAATACGCTGTTCATCTGGAGTTTATGTAAGTAAAACTCACACACACACACACACAGCATTCAGTAGACCTGACCGACCTACACTGTATCTAAACTTCTCTCTCTCTTCGTAGTGGAGACTATGTGAATGCTCTGGCACACTATGAAAAGGGCATGACCCACAATAATAAAGTAAGTGAAATATATTTTATGTCAACTTTCTGTAGTGATAACAGTTTGATAAGTTCAAAACTATAAACACAACAATGACGTTATTTTTAGTTTTTCACCACGTGATGATAATGAAATAATTTTAATTGTACTCCCTTTGAAGTCTCCTCTTTTTACTGTCCCCACCCTCCTCTCTCTCCCTTTTCGCTGCGCAGTTCCAGGAGCACGACGAGGCTTGTCAAGCAGGTGTGGCCCGGATGTCCATCAGGATGGGCGACATCAGGAGAGGAGCTGCTCAGGCAATTCAGCACCCGAGCAGAGTCCTCAAGAAGGAATGTGGAGCCATACTGGAGAGCATGAAGGTAGAGAGCCTTATCTCTCTCTTCTTGTTAATTATGTTTTAGTAAATTACAGGTTTTATAGTGTGTGTTTCTCTGCCGGTTTTGCAAATATTTGAGCATCAACTAATGTTTTATAATCTTTTTGTTCATGTCCTCTTCTGTGGTTTTCTTTTCTCTCTTACAGCAATTCTCTGAAGCCGCTCAGCTCTATGAAAAAGGCCAGTATTATGACAAAGCAGCATCAGTCTACATTCGCTGCAAGAACTGGTGAGATGAATACCAACACTCAGACCTGCAGGTTTTTCTCCTCCTTTACACTGTAAAATTCCACTTTTTTTTTTATTCCACACTCAGGGCAAAGGTGGGCGAGTTGCTCCCACACGTCTCCTCTCCTAAGATCCACCTGCAGTACGCCAAGGCCAAGGAAGCAGACGGGAAGTAGGTTCTTAGTTTAGTCTGTCACATTGAGGATAGTGAAATCATAAAAGGAGTAGCCGATGTAACACGTGCTGTATGCACCAGGTATAAGGAAGCTGCAAGGGCCTATGAGAGCGCCAAAGACTGGGACAACGTGATACGTGTGCAGCTGGACCACCTGAGCAACCCTGGGGAAGCAGTTCGCATTGTCAGGGAGACGCAGAGTATCGACGGGGCAAAGACGGTTGCCAGGTAGGACAAACAACAGCACGGGTGTATACAAACAACCACAGTCAAATAGTTTTGTACTTGTATGAAGGCTTTAGTGTCTAAATGTAACCTAAATGTGACTTTTAACCCTTCCAGCCACTTGTCTAACATGAACCCATAACTTACGGTTATGGCACAGGAAGTACTGGGAAATTATTTTTATTTAATGATTATTTTTTATTAAATTAGTTTTATTATTATTTAAGTATTCATTATTTTTATCCTTGTTTGCCCAACCAGAAGTCCAAAACCCAACACCCCAAACATGTTTAATCTAGAAGGAAAAAGATAAAATAAATATTAATCTTCCCATTTGAGAAGCTAGAACGAGCAAATGTTGGCATTTTTGACAGATAAATGATTTAAATGATTACTCAACTATTTGTTTCATCTCCAATTATTTCCCCCTGCTCTTTTTTCCCATTTGTGTAATAAACCTTTAACATGTCTGTGTGTGTCTCAGGTTCTTCCTGGGGTTGAACGACTACGGCTCGGCCATCCACTTCCTGGTGCTGTCTCAGTGCAACGATGAAGCTTTCCAACTGGCACAGCAGCACGGAAAAATGGAGGTCTACGCAGACATCATCGGTCAGTCTGTGCGGATGTGTTATATAAAGACCATACCAACATTTTTACAGTGAAACAAACATTCTGAGCAGGTCTAACTTTATTGCAGTATTTCCTAATGAATTTCTAGCAGTGAAGTTCCAATGAAACAGCCTGTTAAGTTGAAAATAAATTAGCTCACTGCTGCGTTGTGTGCTTCTTCAGGTCCTGAGGCGACGCAGGAGGACTACCAGAGCATTGCTCTCTACTTTGAGGGAGAGAAGAAACACCTGCAGGCTGGCAAGTTCTTTCAGAAGTGCGGGCAGTACAGCAGAGTAAGCATTTTATTTACTCAATCTTTTATTAATGCTAATGTATATGTTCTAATAGTTAGAGAGTTAGATGTTGCTTCATTCCACCACTTCAGCCAATCCTTTCTTTCTTCATGTCCACCATCTCTCAGGCCCTGAAACACTTCCTGAAGTGTCCAAACACTGATGACAATTTGGCCGTCGAGATGGCTATAGAGACAGTGAGTGTGTCAAACTGAATATCCCAGTGTACATACACAATGATGTGACCATTCAGCAGTGTTTTTGATGTGTCTGTGTCTGTGTGTGTGTGTGTGTGTGTGTGTGTGTGTGTGTGTGTGTGTGTGTGTGTGTGTGTGTGTGTGTGTGTGTGTGTCAGGTGGGTCAGGCCAAGGACAGTTCTCTGACCAATCAGCTGATAGATTACCTGATGGGAGAGAGCGACGGTATGCCCAAGGTAAGCAATACACTGGAACACTGCTTTTGTCTCAGTGGATGTGACTTTACTAGCAACCTGATTTTAAATCATTACTTTTATAAGTTTTTCTCTTTCATGCATTGATCACTCATTCTCCCTCTCACTGTCTCTCCTTTTCCTTGTCTCTGCTGTGTGTGTGCAGTGTCTCTCAGTGAGTAGCCTTGTCAGACACTGACTGTTTCATCAGCAGTTATAACAAAGAAGAACACATTGACTTGTTCTTGATTTGGGGAGCTGAAAGTTTGGGACTGGCATAAGTACAATATTTTACTCAGAAAAAAGAATTCATAGATTTTACAACACAAGTGTCTTTAAAAAGTAATAGCCAACAGATCTGTAGTCAGAGAGCTAGTAGGAGTTAATTATTTTAGCTAATTGTATAGAAGGCAGGTGGGTTGTTAGTGTCAGTGTGGGGACTAGAGTGTATGTGTGTCATACAGTAGGTAATGTACATCCTTGTGGGTATGTGATGTAGAACGTGTTAAGTGCTGTTGTTGTAGGGCAGTAGGGCATGAGAGTGTCCCTTTTCCTCCAGCTTGCTCTTTGCTGAGGGTGAGATGAAGGAAGAGTCAGTTGTATTTGCTAGACAACTGAAGTGCAGAGAGAGAGTCGTTTTTTAACCGTTTCAAAACTGTTTCTAATACATTGCTTGCCTAGAGATCTAATGAAACCATCCTTGAAGCACAGATTGCTTATTATTTGGATGTAATCAGTGAAGTACGCTTTTCGAAATATGTGTTAAAAGGCCCTGAAAACCAATTTACTCAATCAGCCTCTTAATGTGAGCAATGGGGCCCCGACAGGAAATCACTGTATTATTCAGAACAGATTCAGTGATTTCCCAGGACACATTTCTGTCTGTGCTGTTTGGAAAAATGTGATATTGTGTTGCCAGTCAAATTTGATCAGATCACACCCCCACAGTGTTGAAGAAGCTTTTGAGTGTTAAAACTTGAGTGATTCACATTAATATTTAATGTTATAGTGAAAAAGACTTGAAAGAAAGTTTTCAGGAATGGCAACCCAAAGAAACCCGATCAGATTCTGTGGATGTGGTTGATTGTGCATCTGCTGGATTTTCTCAGGTTCATGCAGTTTGTGAGTGTCAGTTTTAGTGGAATATATATATATATATATAATTATATAATATATATTAAGGGAAGGTGGGCATCATTTTGTCATCATTATATTACCTTGGAAGTTTGTTTAATGTCCCTTAGCATTAGCTTTAGCAAACATTTCTGTAAATAAATTTTGTCCAAAGTTGTCCAATTACATTTAAAATTGTAGAGAATGTTTTAGAAGGTTATTTTAATTTATTCCAGCATTACTTCGTTGATTTCCTTTGAGTTTGCTAGTTTCAGACGGCTTGCACAGTTTCCCTGTGCAGAATACATCTGAAGGTATTAGACAACCACAAGCTGACCTTCAGTTAGACGCATATTACAAACTGAATGCGAGCACTATTTCACCCTGTGAATCTATGTATGTAAATCTGATCCTAACACTTTTGATTAAACTGGTGACAGTTAGTTGATCTTTTTTTCCTCTTCCCAGGATGCCAAGTACCTGTTCCGTCTGTATATGGCACTGCAGCAGTACAGGGAAGCTGCTCGCACCGCCATCATCATCGCCAGAGAAGAGCAGTGTGCAGGTACAAACATATTCACACAAACACTAACCAAATAGCTGTGTACCAAAGCTTCTATATACTTCTATTTGTTTTTTTGCATGTAACACAGGGAACTATCGTAATGCCCATGACGTGCTGTTCAGCATGTACACGGAGCTGCAGGCCCAGAAGATTAAAATTCCTGCTGAGATGGCCACCAATCTGATGATCCTCCACTCCTACCTACTGGTCAAAGTCAGTAAAGCTGAAATCTATCACACACACTTTGTGTTTGTTCAGGTTACTGTGCTGAATCACTTTGTATAATTTTTTTAATAATTTCTCTCGGGGACATTTTATGCCTTTATTAGATAGCCGACAGGAAATGAGGAAAGGACCAGGGATGCTGTGGTTTATGGTCAGCGTCAACATTAAGTGTCGGGTTATGCTTGATCAGAACTCCTTTGTATAACACGTCCAGAAATAAAAAGTATTAATAGTTAAGTTAATAAACTGCCCCACTCAAAAGTGGTCAGTGAGAAGCCGGCCACATAGAGGGACTAAGTGCAGTATTGTTTAATGTGGGAAGAACTGCACATTTTCAGTTTACTGTCACATGATAAAGCTTCTCAACCTTAACATTACGTGAGTTTATTGTTCTTTGTAGTCTTCCATGTTGAATTTGTTAATTATTCATAATGTAGATCCATGTAAAGAGGGGAGACCACCTGAAAGGGGCTCGCATGCTCATCCGTGTCAGCAACAATATCAGCAAGTTTCCTGCACGTGAGTCCACACAGAATCAACTCTAATCTGTCCAATTCACATGAAAGAAACTGATCTAAATGAAGCTTAAATGTCACTAAAACTTAAAAAAAATTGTCCAACAGAAGTCTCATCAGTGTTTATGTGTGTCTGTAGATGTTGTTCCCATTCTGACGTCAGCAGTCATCGAATGTCACCGTGCCGGACTGAAGAACTCGGCTTTTAGCTTCGCTGCCATGTTGATGAGACCGGAGTACCGAAATGAGATCGACCCGAAGTACAGGAAGAAGATCGAGGCTATGGTTCGGTGAGTCCACACTTTCTGCTCTTTCCTGACCTTCCTCCTTCTCCGCACATATATTACCTTACCTCATCTGTCCGATTTTATTCTACCCTACACTGCATTTCAAACCTTGTCCTTTTATTTCATATGTGTCTGCCCTTCAGACGTCCAGATACATCCGAGCTGGAGGAGGAAACCACTCCATGTCCCTTCTGTGGCTTTCAGCTGCCTCAGAACGAACTGCTGTGTATCTCCTGCAAGAACAACCTGCCCTACTGCATTGCCACGGTACAAACACACAATCACTGACTGATTCATGCAGTTCTTCTTTTTAACAAAGTAGTTTGTTCCAATATTTTTATCAATTGATTTTCTGTTTTTCAGGGTCGTCATATGCTGAAAGAAGACTGGTCTGTGTGTCCTCATTGTGAATTTCCTGCTCTCTACTCCCAGTTCATTCTGTAAGTATGCAGAAACGTATATCAGCTGGTTTTTGTGTTGTTATTTAAACCAATGGAAGATTCACATTTATTTAAAATTGCTGACAAATCAGTGTGACAGTTTTTGAAAATCTTACCAAAATATGAAAACCACGTTCTCATCAGAAAGACTTTTTTTTTCTCTTGACACACAATGGACCGATTTTCCATAACCTGAAACTATCTCTGTAATAACACTGTCAGCTACAGTTCTTTAAAAAGAAGACGTTTGATCTTCATCAACCGGCCCTTATCACCGTCTTGTGACTCCAGACAGAGCTGATTGAAGGCTGATACATTGCTTCAAGTGATTTCACTTCCACAGTCTGAAAATGAAAATAATCTGTGGATGTGGAGTTCGATAAAAGTGAGTTTACCAGACCTCTGCAGTGCTCGAGGCTACATTAGCTACTAGTAGCATAACGCATTCATATCTCTGACCCAACCGTCAGTGAATGAGTTGCATTGTGGCTAATGTAGGCGAGGGGTTCTGCTGCATCAGTTTGTATCTTTTTTATTTTTTAAATTATTTTTATACGGATTATACAGACGAGCTATAACACGTAATTAGTAGGCAGATTTTGTTGCCTTTGGACTCAGCCAGGTTTACTGTGTCCCTGTTTCCAGTCTTCTCATCCAACTAATAGGCCTGGCCACACACACCCACACCCACACCCACACACTTAGTTTAGCCCACTGAAGCGATGCAAATTGTGCTTGTGTGTGACCGTGCCCTCAGCACAGGTGACTTGCTTCTCTCTCATCAACACTGAACTGTGTGTGTGTCCAGGTTGCTGGAAACTGAGACGATGTGTCCCATGTGCTCCGAGACACTGAGTGTCAAACAGCTGAAGAAGATCTCGGATTGTTCCGAATACTTGCAAGCTGATGAACTGGATCAATGAAGAAGAAAAACAAGTGTACATAGATGTCCTGTCAGATTTTTTATGTTTAAATATATATTTTGCAGCTTTTAGTTTTAGTTACTGAATTTTAAAGATGTTTGTTATTTCACCAACCAAAAGACCAATAATAAAAAACTATGTATATTCAGAGGAAATGTTGGATTCATTATTCTACCAGTCGTATTTTTTAGCTCATGTGCTTTTTGAATAGCACCATTGTAAACGGAGTGGCTGAAGATATTTCAAACAGATATATTTCTGTTCAAGTAAATGCAAAACAGAAGATTAGATGGTCAGCTGTTCTTTCTACAGGCTACTGTCTTTCATTGTGATGCTGTTTGGGTCTTTGAGACAATAATTCAAGACATTACTTACATTGTCTTTCCTCAATTACAACCATCCAACCCACTCATTCAGGGTTATTTTGCCTCTTTTGGCAGGTGTACCATCAAGCAACCTGAGTCATCTGCTTAACTATTAGTTTATTTTCTTTAAAAATTGAACATTTAAAGATCTCAATCATTCTGGTCTGTTTTTATTCTCTTGGCTGTAGTGATACGTTTACTTCACGCTGTATAGTTTGAGTGCATTTTTATAAACCTTTTACTTTTTGAAAAAACATCTCGCCACCACGTTTGTTAGAAGTAAAAAAAAAAAAAAAAAAAAAGATTTTTTCTCAGGTTGTAGCTTCTCAAGCAGCAGAATTTTCTGTTTCTCTTTGTTTTTGGGTTTGAAGGCGAAACCAGACATTTAAAGACGTCACCTTTGGCTCTGCAAAGTTGAGATGGGCTTTTTTAAAAAATTTTTTTACATTTCATAGACAAAATGATTAATAAAATAATATATAAAATTGTTAGTTGTAGTCCTAATTTTATCTGCTACTCTCTTCTTATTGTTTAGTGACAGTTTGTCTTGATTTGCTTTGCTGAAGTCTGCGAGGAGTATCAGCCTTATTGAACATCCTCACACTGAATATGATGAGTAGTCAGGTTATCTGAGAATATGATCTATATTCAAGTATAATCTAAATATTTTATTTTTAAAAACAAATTCTTGACATCAAAGTGTCCATTAAATTCAGTTTTCTAGAACATGGCTGCTTTCTCTCCCCATTTAAAAAAAAATCAGTCACCGACACTCATGAGCGACATATTTTTCTATTAAGCCTCAAGAAATTTTTACAAAATTGCAATTTACAGGAACATCAGTGCTAAACGTAGAGCTGAAGAACTTCTGTACTGTAGTTGTAGCAAAAAGTAACAGTCTTTTAAATCACATTATTTACAATCTCGACACCTGGATCACAAACTGATGACCGAAGAAATGCACTATACTCCTGTTGAAATGTTAGTACAGAGGTGTAGAGACATGATGAAGGGTGGAACAACCACATAATATGTATCATTTGTTCAGTATAGAGCCGCTCTGACGGAAACATGACAGGAAGTTAAAAAAAGACATTTCTCAGTGTGATTAGAGTCAAAGTGTTTGGATGAGTTACCTGCAGAAGTTAAAGACCAGTTTCACTACTACCTCATTAAAGGATCGTTGCAAGTGCAGAGATAGAATATATATTACAGTCTGTGGGGGCAGTTTGTTATCGGTCATTTCTTCCCCTTGCCTTTCCCCTTGCCTTTGCCCTTCCCAGAATCTTCCTTCTTCTCCTTTTTTGACTCCTTGGTGGCTTTGGCCTTCTTCTGCTGCAGGGAGGAACAAAGACACAGACAACATATGAACACAGGAAGATATGAAGACAGCCAGGAAATACTGAATGAGTGCACGAGATCAAATGGGTTTGTAAGTCGTAATCACAATTCTTACTTTGATCATGGCGTCGGTTTTGAGGCCCTCCCCCTCGTCCTCAGACTCCTGCACTTCGTTCTCTGCATCCTCACCTCCAAACTCTGACTCCCCCCCGCCACCACGCCGACCTTTCTTCACTACTTGCAGGGAGTACGGCGTCATGTGAACTTCTTTGTTGTAGGTCCGTGTGAATGCTGCCTTCACCTGTGAGACGGACAGCAGAGGTGTCAAAAATTCATTGTATGTTGGAATAACCACAGACTCTTTCAACCACTGTCTCCAAAAACTATATCGCCTCCCACTGACCTTGGAGTCCAGTTTGGAGTAGGGGTCAGGTTGTCCGCCCCAGACGCTAATCTCCATGATGCTGTCCACGTCCTCCTTGATGAGCTGGTAGTCGTCCAGCAGCTTCACAGCTTCGCCGGCGCCCTCCGATCCGTGCCTCTGAAGCGGGCTCAGCAGCGCCTGCCGCAGGTAGTACAGGTAGTCCAGGTTCACCGCCTGTCTGCTGCTCATCGTCCTGCAGGAGCCAAACGAATACAAACACTCAAATACTCAAATACAATTTTGTGTTTGTGTAAATAAGTTAAAAGAGAAGTGATGGAGGACTGCTCACTTTAAACTCATGTGTGAGGCCAGCTCCTGGACGATGCGGGAATGTTTACTGGTAGAGGAGTACTTGCCGAGCCAGCTGGGGAAGGTAGGAAACTGACCCATGTAGCCTCTCATGAGCTCGCCTGGCAGCACGCTGGCATAGATGGCCTGCGAGCGCGCACACACACACACACACACATAGACAGACCAGCATGATGAATCTCTGGTGTCCTAACACACAAGTAAGCTTGTGATACAACGTGAGTGTGTGTAATTAGATGATTATGTTCAGTGTCTGTTTACAAAAGAAACATTACAGAGGGATAACACAGGCAGTAATTATACAGTGAAAAAGAACGAACATCTGAGGCCTTTGGTTGGTCGACTGGATCAAATTATTATCGTATGACACTTGGTTCGGCAGCTTAAAGTCAGATTTAGAGGTGAAAATAACTGCTGTGCATCTTGATTACACCTTTATTTCTTAAGGTTGTGTGCATGCGTTACCTGGGTGGGCAGCAGTGACCAGTTCTGCCCAGAGCGGATCCGTCTGTCCACCAGGTCTCCGTCAGAGATGGAGTCAGCCGTCTTGCTGAGCAACACCAGGTGGGACTTCAGGTCACTACTGCGACAAGAGAGACAGGCAAGAAAATACATAAACATTCACGGAATAGTTTGACATTTTGGGAAATACGCCGGAGACGATTAGCCTAGCTTAGCTTAGAGACTGAAAACAGATAGCCTCTCTCACCCGGCAGCCTTTGGCCGAACATGCAGGTAGTTCTCTTGGACGAAAAGCGGCGCTAGCGAGTAGTCGTGGAAAAAGAGGTCGGACTTGTCGATGAGGCTCATGTGGGCGGTCTCCTCCCCTGACGAAAACACCTTCCTACAAACGTCAAACGGTCCCATTTTCATGTCCTTGCGGGCTCTGGCCGCGTCAGACTTGCACTGGTCGTACGTCATAACCTTGTCTCTGGCCGACCACATGCTCAGGTTGTGGATCACCTGGAGACAAAACAGCCAGCGTGGTGAGAGGAGAGACCAAGGGTGGGCGAGTGAAGACGTAACCTCAGTATGAATCGACTTTTAGGACACTTCTTTACCTGTCGGACATCCTGATTGGCGGCAAGGATCATTTCGTTAAGAGCCGGGGGCGGGATCTTGATTCCCTCCTTGAAAGCGATGGACATCATAGCTCCCTGAAAAATGAAAAGGAAAAAGAAAAAGTGGCTGACAGCAATTAAAATGGGCCATTATTATGAATCATTATATATTAAAGTCTCAATTGTCTCCATTTATGAGAATCCTCATAATCAATCAAGACAATACAGCCATAATTCAAATGCGTACATTTACAGGGGGTGTGTGTGTGTGTGTGTGTGTGTGTGTGTGTACCTTGATCTGTTCCACTCGCGGCCTCTGGAAGCGCAGATCGAAGCAGTAGTTGGCCAGTGACCTGATCTTCTGGTGGTTACGGTCGTTGCACATGAAGATGATGGGAATCTTTGAACTCTTGATCAGGCCGATCATCTCCTACAGGAGGCAAAAGATCAAAGGTCAGCATCAACAAAACGCAATGTATCCGTCCACCTTTTGTCATTTTCAGTCCACATGGAAGTAGAATATTGTAGGAAAATGTTTTGATTTTTTTTACCTGGATTCCTCCGCGGTCCTCGTTTCCAGCCATGCCATCGACCTCATCCATGATCAGGACGTGTTTAGTGCTCACTGTCTGAGAAGTGCCTACAAATCACACACCAACAGTTGAATATACTACATAGTATTCACTTCAAGTCATTTCATTCATAAAGCTCACTGCTTCATAGGGACAAGGTGCAAACAGCGTTTCTGTAGCTGCTTCACAATTAAAAAGGAATACTATAAGTGAGTTAGTCTCTGGATGGCTCAGTAAAAAGGAAAATGTTAACAGTGTTTAAATCTGTTAAATTAACTAGATAATACAGTGATTAAGCATTAACATTTTCAAGAGAAAATGTTTGTTTCCAGTATGGTTTGCAGTGGTATGGACGTGTTTGGCTGCTCCTGGACAATGCTTGAATTTTGTTTATTTTTAAAGCTGAAAAGAAAGCAACACAATCTATAGCTTTTACATCATTTTCATGTTCCTGTGTATCAATAAAAAGCTGTAACAGAAAATAAAACCTTTGTAGAAGTTCTCGATGCTGGTGTTGTTCAGTGACTCTGCAACGACTTCCTTCAGGTTCTTTTTGCTGCGAGTACAGCTGGCATTCATCTCCACATAGCTGAAGCTCAACTCCTGCAGGACGGCACACAAACACAGTGGAGAGAGTCAATGACAGATCAAACCGAAATGTTCAAGTTTAAGACTTTATTTGTCCCAACTGGGTCATGTCTGAATCTTGGGTGCAGAAATAGTTTAAAATAATAGACAGACTGGTGAGAATCACCCAAAATCATGCCTGTGTGTGTTTTCAGACTGACCTCACAGACCAGGGCAGCTGTGGTGGTCTTCCCGACCCCCGGAGGTCCAGAAAGCAGAGCAGCTTTGAATCCTGATCCATCATCTTTCCCTCCAAACTTACCGAACCTTGCTGCTGCACGACACAAAGCACATCAAACACGTTTTCATTTTTCAGAGCTAAAATTCACTGAATCAAAATCTGGTTTTATCATCACTCTGAATTCTGCTCATAGGCCCTCAAAACACAAACAGAGCTAAACCGTCTGCTACCTGGTGGCTTGGGAGCGCCCCCGCTGTGGTGTTTGTGCCAGTTCT